ATCCTGCATCAAAATTGTTTACTTTAGTAAAAGCACAACATATTAAAATTAAAATGTACTTTAAGTACCATACCAAGTCATGATTTGAAGTCAAGTTTCACAGATCTGCTAGCAGGATTTTAAGTCTTTTAAGTCATGCTTTTTATTTCATTACGTCATTTTTATCTCATAATGTTAGCACTCGGTTCAAATATACAAATATATACAGCACTTGTTGCTTGATTTTATTTAAAGGGGTCCTATTATGTTAGTTTTAAGGTTCATATGTGTATTTTGTGCCTCTACTGTGATATGTCTTATGCATTCCTGTCTCGTCACTATGATTTTGACAACCTGTTACATCAGCGCGTCTCACAGGAATAGTAAGATTATCTTCCCTGCCTTTTAATCTTTGTGCTGCCGATGCAGATGGGGCTTTAGCTGTTCAATTATACATGTTGTGAAGTCTCTTGTCACCTAAATCTGGCTTCCTACACTGAAGGGGAAAAGATTGTAGTGCATCACTTAGATCTGGGTAGAAATATCATGGTTGTTAAACATTGGTGAAGCAACACACACCAACAAACGTTTTATGTAAGTTTGTTAGCAAGACCACATGTCTACTATTTCACTTTGAATCCCTGAATAGCTTAAGTGTTCAACTTGTTAATCCTGAAGAACACTGACGTCAATGAAGCATCCATAAACCGGTCACATACAACATATACAGACATTGTAAGTTTTATCACAACATAGAGCTGAAATGAGATCAAACAAAGCACAGATACACTGAATCAAAATCAAAGGATTAGGGATCAGGACTCAGAGGTAATGGCAAGTGCTGTGCAGATTTTTAATATGAATATCTTTGACTTTTGCATAGTAATGTGTACAATGTTTGGCATTTTGCACTGAAAATATCAAACATCAACTGTAGCAAGATAAGACGAAGAACAACATTTATATCAAACAATAAAATGTGCAAAAGGTAATCACACTGAAACGCCTCCATTGGACTCCTTTCTTTACTTTCTTTAGAAAGCTGCAGCTGATTCAGAACGCCGCTGCTCGAGTCCTCACTGACACTAAGAAAGTGGATCACATCACTCCTGTTCTGAAGTCTTTACACTGGCTTCCTGTGTGTCAAATAAATGATTTCAAATATTGTTGCTGGTTTATAAAGCTTTGAATGGTTTAGGCCCAAAATACATGTCTGACCTACTGCTAAATTATGAACCATCCAGATCTCTCAGGTCTTCAGGGACTGGTCAGCTTTCTGTCCCCAGAGTCAGAACTAAACATGGAGAAGCAGCATTCAGTTATTATGCTCCAAAGATCTGGAACAAACTCCCAGAAACCTGCAGGTCCGCTGCAACTCTGACTACTTTTAAATCCAGGCTGAAGACTTTTCTTTTTGCCGCTGCTTTTAATTTAACTATTCACATCTTAAACTGCACTGTAACTTTTATCCATGTATTTTTTCTTTTAATGTTTATTTTATTATCTTTTCTTTTTAATGACTGATTTTAAATGCCATTTTCTTAATGTCTTTCATTTTTTTGTAAAGCACTTTGAATTGCCTTGTGTTGAAAGGTGCTATATAAATAAACTTGCCTTGCCTTGCCTTGCCTTAATAACCTAGTGACATCACTGTGTTACACTTGGCTTCTACTGATCAACGCTCCGGGACATCTCTAAGCGGTTGGCCAATCACAACAGAGCCGGCCAACTAACCAATCAGAGCAGACTGGGCTCTGGTTTCAGACAGAGGGTGAAAAGAGGTGCTGCAGCATAGGCAGTATGAGAAAAATAAAGACCTTTTTGAACATTAAAGCATGGAGACATGTCACAGGAGAGACACAAAATACAAATATGAAATAGAATAAGATAACATAAGCAGAATAAGGCCCCGTTAAGGCCACAAAACGCCATAAAAAGTTGGAGCTGAGTGCAATTTGGCCTTTATTTGCATCATATTGCAATTACATGAGGCTTACGCCAAGAACACATTGGGCAGAGCTTCGTTTAGTCTTCATTTTGGAACCACATTCTTCTCCTCGTTTAGAAAAATCCTGGCTATGCATGTATGCTTCTTCGAAGAAATGTAACTATGGTTAGTTTTCTCCAAGTTTTTTCTTTAAGATGTTGTTAAGGATGATTGACCTTGCCTTTTATTTAAAAGAACATGAAGGACAGGACTTGAGCAGATTTTTTTCTAAGGAACATTTTAAATGAAGAGACTTTTTGCAACAGGCCATCGATGTTCAGGTTTCTATGAAGATGTGTCATTGCGCTCACATTCGACCTCATTACCTTCGAATGTGGAAAAGGTGTTGCTGCAGCAGGGCGAACGCTGATTAAATGCAATCTCCTTGATTTGACCTTTCGCTGCTTCTCAGAAAGGGTCTAGGTGAGATTATTGCCATTTGGAAAGCGAGAAAATGTTCACACACACAGTCACCTGGAGCACTCCCTGTGGAGCATCTTCCTCAACATAATTAGGACGCCATCTTAGGAAAAGGCACCTGGTTTCACACTCGCACGCCTCTTGCTCACAGCTCATTACCAGGAGTGGTGTAGCTGCTTTCTGACAAGGTTTCAAGTTTTTTTTAAATTAAGAAATAACTAATAAATAGTAACTTGTGGATAAAGAACAGTGTGAAACAACACAGTTCTCTCCAGGGTCAGGCGTGAGGCGGGTCGAACAGTGTCATAGCAATTGATTTTTCACACCTCTGCCTCACATCAATGTCCTTTTCAACTTTTTCTTCAGATAGATTTAACAGAGGCACCTACGGAAAGAATATATAACAAAATCATTTTAAGTAAAAAAAGTTGGTATGATACAGGCAAACCTGTGTATCATATAGATATCAGTCACTGTGCTGTACTACGACCAAATTGCTTTTTCCTGTGCTTAGCATCCAACCCGTGCAGCCATCATGCTTTTCACTCAGGCAATCATGAGTTCAGGTCTTTGGGGACATAGGCAGCCTGTTGGGCACCTGAGGCAACTCGGAAACCAGAAGTAGTTATGGTGATGTAAGAGTTTAGAGTGGAAAAGAAGCTGCCACCTCTGCACCCTGGGACCTCTTGTTTACCGCTGCTGCTGGCTTCTTTTCTACTTCCTTCCCCTTTCTGTAATCAGTCTCAGCTTTCAGGCAGGTATTTCAGATGTCCTTTTTCCAACTGATGCATGCCCTCTTTTAAACAAGAATTCACTACTTCTCTACATTTCCATTTCCAAACCCAACCCTTGCCCCCTTATCTTCCCAATTCCAGCCTCTGGTGGCAATCAGACAGTCTGCTCGCGAACGGACCAGCTGGAAACCTCCAGCATGAGCCCAGCAAAGTGGCTGCAGCGCGCACGCACACTGTCAATTCCTCTCGTGCTGTTCACTTCACCAGTTTCCCTTCTTTCGTTTCTCCTTACGTTCCCATGAGATGTCCCTTTATAGATCGAAACCAAACCTTTAAAACAGCAGTCACAAAGTGTGCAGTGGAAGTCTTAGAGGTGATTTTATTACTTTGCTACGGGGATTTCTATTTTCTCCTCCATTCTGCTCTTTATGACGCCCAGGGTCAACAGTGTGTGGATTTGTTTCAGTCTTTTCTGTGTGAATGTTTTATAGTAGACAGATTAACTTTATTTTTCGGTCAACCGCATGGCGTCACCTAAGATGTCCCACTCTTCAATACTTTGACACCTGTGCGCTCATTAACCCCTACTCTTGTAGTGGGGTTGCCTTGGAAACAAGTCGATCGCTCAACCTAAAATCGTTTCTTGCAGTTGACGTTTGAGATTTGGTTGTGTTTGTTGTTTTTTCTGCTTTTTCTTCTGACTCGTACGGTCTTCACCAAATGTGTTCTACGTTTTTTGTTTTTTCTAACTCTGACGATTTTAAGGAAAGGAAGCTGAATTGATTTCCCGCAGGTGCAATCAGTGTCCAGCGCCCTGTAATCAGCTGTGTTTCGTACCCTACCTGTAATCTTGTGGTTGTCAATACAACAGTGAGATACTGTCTCATATCAGTGCTTACAGGCTGTGTATGACAGCTATAGGAAAAATAACAGAGCTCCAGCACTGATTAGCAGTTTTATCCTCCATGTAACGCTAAAATAAAGAGTTTTAGTAAACCCTTATTGATGTCTTCTACAGAATTCAAATCAATGAACCTTCGAGTCCCATGTTAAGCTTTAACAACCGACAAAAACAACATTTAAGTATTTCTGAAGCAGTTAAATATCAGATTTTCTGGGAAATTCACCTGCAATTTCAATTTTAAAAGAAATATCACTAATAGTGGCTGACCAAATACTGACCTCACCCATACCCTACCAAGGCCATATGTCTAAAATATATCTATCTATCCTCCGTTCCTACAAAAACCTTAAAATAACACTAAACCCCTCTCTTCCCCTTTCTTGTGTGTAAGTGAGCGTAATCTATTTTGTAAAATGTTGACAAAGCCAAGCTAGCTTTTTTCCTATAGCATCATCTTTACGCTAAGCTAAACCAAACACTGACGACATCCAAAATCGCAGAGCAATAATTTCCCTAGTGATCATAACCAAATGTTTGTAACTAATGTCTTATTTATACTAATCTAACTAAGAGAGGGCAGTTTATTGATCTGAATACTTATCTCACTCAAATGCCTGCTCCTGAGATCCAGATTAAATCATAGCCCTGGCTTGTGTGGCAGTCTGTGATGCTGACAGCTTGTTTCAGGTCTCAGAAGCCAAACTGGTAATCACAGATACTGATTGGAGGCAGATTGAAGGCTGGATGATGCATAATGCAGCACCTGTTCAACCTAGAAATAGACAGATAGACAGAAAGCAAGAGCAGAGGTATTTTCTTATTTTTCGCCAACACTGGTTATGATCCTGGCTTTGACTTTTCCATCCAGAGTAATGTTGAGATGTCTGACATGCCATGAGGAAGAAAATGTGTGTGTTTGATTTACTCCGCCACAGTTCATTTCTCATCTGTCTGTTTTGTGTTCCTGTCTCCCCAGCGCTGTCACTGAGCTGTTATTCACTCCTCCTGCATCATGGAGGCTCAGCCTGGTGCATCATGGGAGCTCATCAGCGGTGTGACAGATACAATATATAAGGGCTGAGAGGTCATTATGGAGACTGACAGCTACACCCCCTCCACCACTGACTGGGCTGGGACGTTGGATGGCCTGGAGGGAATGGGGCTCCTTCAAGAGCAAGGTGGTGTACCACCGGCCTCCTGGTACACCCCGTACTCACTGGGCTTCCAGGTGTCGCTAACTGGCTTCCTCATGCTGGAGCTGGTGTTGGGTTTCAGCAGCAACCTGACTGTGCTGGTGCTCTACTGCTCCCAATCAAATCTAGTGGACTCCGTGAGCAACATGGTGACGGTGAACCTGCACGTGCTGGACGTAGCTGTGTGTGTGCTGTGTTTGCCCCTCACCCTGGTGGTGGTGCTGCTGCCTCCCGGACCCAACATGGCCCTGATCTGCTGCTTCCACGAGGCCTGCGTCACCTTCGCCAGCATAGCCACGGCCGTCAACATCCTTGTCATCAGTTTGGACAGATACGACATCTCAGTGCGGCCGGCCAACAGGCTGCTGACCCCCCGGAGGGCCACACTGCTCCTGACGGCTGTTTGGGTCACCTCGGTGGCGGTGTTTTTTATCCCGTTCTTGGAGGTGCAGTGGTCCAGTGGAGAAGAGGAGCAGGTGACGCCTTTGTCGTTGTCGTCACATGGTGCCGACGTGGTGCCGTCGTGGCGTAACCAGACTCTGCTGTGTGTTGGCGGGCAGGGCTTCAACACAGGCCTGGGTATGTATTACCATCTGATCCTGCAGGTGCCCATCTTCTTCACCACGGTGGCAGTCATGCTGTTCACCTACTCCAGGATACTGAGGGCTTTAAACATCCGCATCGGCTCCCACATGAAGAAGGGCCAGCGGTTCAGGGGGACCCAGCAGAGACAGAACAAAAGGAGGGTGGGACTCAGAATGAGGGACGGAGGGGAGGTAGGAGGCGAGCAATGCACCACAGATTGCACCAAACAGCTCAGCCACCCGCCACTCATCCCTTCACCTTCCCCCACCCCCACAGCCACCTCCCCCCCGGCCCAGTCGTCCGCCCCGCTCGTCACCTCGGACACGGGGGCAGCCACGCCCATGCCCTCCTCCCTGGGCGTCCAGGCCTCAGTGTCGGCCATCATCGCCCTGAGGAGGGCCGTGCGGAGACACCGGGACCGGAGAGCGCGGCAGAGGCGGGTGTTCAGGATGTCCCTCATCATTATCGCCACCTTTCTAGGCTGCTGGGCCCCCCTCTCTGTTACCAACCTCCTCATCCTGGGCATCGGCCCCAGTGACGCCCTGGTCAGCCTGCGCCTCTGGTTCTTAGCCCTGGCGTACGGCACCACCGTCTCCCACCCTCTGCTCTACGCCTTCACCCGGCAGAAGCTGCGCCGGGCGCTCCGTGCGAAGGTTAAGAAGAGGGTGGTGTCTCTGCTCCAGGTGGACCCTTCCCCGGGGAGCACCGTCATACACAACTCCTGGGTGGAGAATAGGAAAACCAGCAGGAAGGTGCAGCTGGAAGCAAGCAAAGGTACTGACCGCTGCCTGGCTGAGGTCCTGTGAGACTGACACAGTTATTAAAAAAACAAAAACACAATAGAGTCACAGGTGCGCTCCATTATGAAACTCACTGGTGTGTGAAGCCAGTGTAAGAAATGTGAAAAACACATTTCCACCTCTGGGAAATGTCTTAACGTTATCACCAGCAGCAGCTGCAGCAACAAGCTAAACAAAGCTAACACAGCCTCTGCAGCTGAATACATCTACAACAAAAGCATACAAATGTACATATTTTACACAACAATAATCAAAAAGTCTGTTTACATATAGAGTTGTATGACAGATTATGGTGTTCATCCAACAGCTCCAAAGAATGAGTTTAGCCTGCAGGTGATCTGATCTGCCGCCCACTCAGATGCTCCAAGGCAGCTTTTAATTTTTTTTGATACACTACACAAAAAATAAATATTCGACAAACTCTTTGAATGTATTTATCTTGGCTGTCTTAGTTTTGCTCTGATGGTATCATGTTTTCCAGAACAAAGGGGGAACTTATACATTTACAGGCAAGGCACATTGATAGTATGTTGATGATATGTAAATGAATCGGCGTTTAGGAGGGGATAAGGTTAGAGAACAATTAAAGGCTAACATATTACCTGCTGTTTTGCTTTAGCTTAAGTACTTATTACAGTGTTTACATGAAACCCTGCAATGCTTATTCTTATAAATGCAACTCTGTTGGTCCCAATTTGTTATGAAATGGTGTAATGTCATGATTGGTGTTTTGCATATGCAGCCTGGACACAATAAGCACATTCATTAACGTCATGATATTTTGGGAGAAAGGCTTATTGGCTTCTTTTTTTTCAAGAGAGAATTAGATAAGGAAGATTGATCTCCTTTGTGTACAGTCAATATGAAGCAAAAGGCAACAGTCGATTAGCTGGGAAACAGAGCTAGGAGTTTGGCTCCGTCCAAATAAACTAATGTCCTCTGTTTAGACTTCACACAGAGCCAGACTCGTTATTCTCCCAGTTTTCAAATCCTAATGGTACGCTAAGCTATCCAGCTGATGAATGTTACTTCATAATAAGCATAGATACATGACAGTGCCATCAAACATCTTATAAAACTCAATAAGATTAAAATAAGCTTTATTCCCAACCGGTCTAACAAGTCCTTTAAATAGTCAAAAGTCTAGTTTTATGATTTGTGAATATTGACATCATTATGAAGTAGCTATTTGGACACTGTAACATGGAAAGGTGACTGACACAATAACAGGAACACCTTTCATTAAAACGCATTCCAGAAGATGAACCAAAAATGACAAACTTAAAAATAAACCCATGTTCATCTAACCCAACCAAGATCTGCACAATCACTCATTGCAGGTCTGTGGTTCTGGGTTGCATTACATTCAGGGTGTCTCTATGCTTTCATTTTGGGGGTTTGGCATGTTAAAAGCCTGCCGATCTCTTTTGTAATAGCATTTATGTACATTTTGTAAATATTGAACAGATACAAATATACTTAATGTGAAATATACAGTGCAAGTCACTTCGTCTGTACGAGTCTGTATAGGCTTTTCTTGATTTAGAGGTCATCCAAACGTGCACTCCAGCGGGTCAGCCTCAGCAAACACAAGAGAGAAACTGTCCCCGCAGATTGAGGGATCGCTAATAAGACGAGCGTTTATTGTTGACTTTATTCTGCCTGACTGTGCGTGTGTTCTAATGCTTTACTCACACTGGGGCTAATTTCAGAGACCATGTGATTCCTCTCACACACACAAACGATTGATGTGTTCTTGAATGTAAACACATGAAAAAGATGAATATTATACTGTATGTAAACCAAGAATATGCTATATTTATATGTTTTCTTCATGGTGTTGTTTTTATGTGAATGTATACCATGTTGAATTGTATCAATAAATGTGAAATACTGGATTTGCTCCTCCTGTCTTGTCGTCCTGTATAAATTCATGTATGCTTTCTGCTATATTTCTCTTTTAACCCTTAATGGGTTCTGTATCCTGGAAGATACACTAATTGCAAAGGCTGTGTCCATGTGTAAAATGGGTGTAATATTGGTGGGACATTGGTGGGGCAATGTGTATTTAAGTACAGTGTAATATAAGTGAAATAACAGTGTAATTTGGGTGTAATAATGGTGTAACATTGATATAATAAGGGTGTAATAATGGTGTAACATTGATATAATAAGGGTGTAATAATGGTGTAACATTGATATAATAAGGGTGTAATACGGGTGTAATGTAGAACATATCAATCACTTATCACTTTTCCAAAATATCTATATATGATTGCCCATATAAGGGTTATGTAAAGCATAAAATACTATACAATATTCCTGTCTTTAATGCCCTGGTCTCGGGTGAAGCTGTGATGATAGCAAGACTTTGACTCACAAGGTAACCTGCTGTGAGGGAGCAGCATGAATACAAAGTGCGTCACTGTCCATACATCTCACATGATTATTCCCTATGTGCCAGAAGGGACACACACAGTGAAATACTGCTGAGCCGGAGAACATAAGGTCCTCGTGGACACAAGCGTACATTGTTGCAAAACGCACATATACAGAACTCTTGCTTAGCATTTGATGTGGTCAGTGATGTGTGGTGTTGCATATGATAATAGCTCACAATCAGAACAACAATATGGTGAGTAGGTGGTGCATTTGTGTATAATATATTAGTGTTAGCATGGTGAAAATGTCACTCTTAACCTGGCTTTGTGATGAGAAGACATCCTTTACTGCATCAAGTGGGTGCCTCCATGTTCAGTGTGCCCTCAGTAGGCACGGATCAACCCCGCTACCTGGCAGTGTTCATGTCATGTTCCTCCCTCTGAGTTATTGCCTACTGTACGCATTAGTTGAAAAAGCTGCCAGCATGCTGTTTCAAAACTTTGCGTGGGCTTTGTGTTGCGTGGGAAGGAGGCGATACAGACCTCTGCAGTATGGGAAAAAGAAGGTCATTCATGTGGGATGAAGCCTGCAGGGCAAAGTAATCCAGCAGCACTTACTGTAAAACTATAGCGAGAACAATCAGGCCGCTGCTTCCAGTTTTGGTTGATTTGTTGCATTTCAATATAGCTAAATCTATGTTTAAAGTGTTATAATAAAGAAAAAACTTGATTGTTTTCTAATGAGGTAATTTCATTATGCACTGTAGGCCGAAATAGCTCAGTTCGGAGAGCGTTAGACTGAAGATCTAAAGGTCCCTGGTTCGATCCCTGGTTTCGGCAGGGTGCTTTTAACAAAAACATGCAAGTTGAAACCAACAGATGTGTAAATACAGTCCATGAGATGTATATGCTACACAAAATGCAGATTTGCTATGATGATTTGATCAAATAAAAAATAATGTATACATTCTGAAAAAAAAATCTTAAATCTGATATGAATAAACCAAATACATAGAAGTCGATAGACCAGCAAAATGTAAAAATACATAAAACTATAATGTTTCGTTTTTTTTATTTCTATATTTATTTTACATTTCATGAATGTACTTCTCAACTCCTATTTATTATTTTTTCCTGTTTTTATTCATTCCTTTCCATATTCTTTTCTTGACGTATTTACACATTTATTGAGGCATTTCAAGTTATTTTTTGTCCTACATACTGTATTAACTGGAAAGTTTTCCAATATTTGAAAGAACTGATACTTAAAGTAAAGAGTAAACTTCTTAAATCAAAAATGCTTTAGGAAGTACTGAGAACAGCAAACACAGAAAGACCAGGCAAAAAGATAATTGCGCTTTATGATTGTTGCATTTGTGACAACATAGCTCTTTCTTTTTCTTTTGTAAATGTATTGAAATAGCATTTGGATACAATTTATGAATGGTATATAAAGTCATACATCTTATAAAATGTAGTTAATTCATCACATTATTTCAGACAAAGACCCCTCGTTGTTGTCTTGCGGTGAAAAGACCTCTGTTCAAACCAAAAAAGACTCTGGGCTATTTTAGCATTCCTTTCATGCCTTACTTGTGTACAGTGTTGATGACAGAAAAGCATTTGGTGAGTAGTAAAAGGGTACATGTAGTTCTGAAAGGAAGGGGGAAAGCCTGCTGTGAGGCAACAGCATGATGATAATGTACAGCTCTGTGCATGTCCCTGGGCGCCGTATGGCAGCCCACTGCTCCTAACACTAGGATGGGTCAAATGCAGAGAAACCATTTCGTTACATAGTACCTGTACTACGTAATGACAATACATTTAATCTAAAAATAAATCTCTATTAGCAGCTCATATGATTGTGCATTAGCTGAAGGGCCACTTAGCAGATATGCTCAGTGCTCTTCATAACAGCCACATGTTGTAGAAGTGAAATTTCACTTCACCTTATTTTGAAGTAAGTATGATTTTCAGCATTATTATCAATATTATTATTATTATTATTAATACACATAATAATCAGTTTGAAAACAATGCTGATGTCCCTTGCCCTCTTGGATAAGATCTGTTTAGAGTGAAAACAGTAAATGAATGGTGAGTTGATGAGTGGTGTTTTTTTCACTTCTTGGCATCTGGTACTACATTTTAAGCCAAGTTTACACAAACTTTAAACAAGATTTCTACACCATGTCCTCATGAAAGCAGAGATAAACAAAACGATAATGTGATGTATTAGCGCCCGCAGTGTCCCTAACATGCAATTGTAACAAGAATGCACACTACTAACTAACATACCTTAAACGTGGACAGTGATACGGTACGGTAGCCAAAAACAGCTATCAGCAAATTGCAACACAATCAAGGAGCAACCGGATGCAGCAATTTGCTTCCTTCACTTTAGGTTGTAAATAAAACAAAAATGTTTTGTGATAGCAACTCATCAAATCCATACAAAACGTCTTTAATCCGAAACATCACTCTGATAATGCATGGTGTGTATTATTACTTGTGCTCTACCGACCTCTGGTGGGTACAGCGACTAATTTCACAAATAACCATCAGTGTCCATCCGCCGAAATAGCTCAGTTGGGAGAGCGTTAGACTGAAGATCTAAAGGTCCCTGGTTCGATCCCTGGTTTCGGCAGTGACCTGGACATTTTTAATGGCAATTTGAAAGGTTAGTATTTGAACAACAGATCTAATAAAAAAGCACAGTTATTAAGAAATACATGTACTTTCTGGTGCTAAATGATACTTAACAACTTGTAGATACATACATGGAAGTAGAATATAATCAAGATTCAAGGCTTTTATTGTCATTTGTACGTAGCTACAGTGTAGTTATGACAATGAAAATCTTAGGTCACAGGCTCCTCCAACAGTGCAACACAATAAAACAGATAATATATAACAGTGTTATTCCGTAAGACCAGCAACACCGACAAAAACATTTTTTTTCCTTCTATTTTTGTGTGTTTCTGTGCATGTGTTAAAGTGGGTTGTGCATGTTTCAGGTATGTGCGATGAGAGGGATAAGGAGAAGATAAATAGATAATAATAAAAAAAATACTGGATTATTACTATTGATGCCTTTATGCATTTATCACTTGATACATGACAATGATTTGTCACAGTAGCTTCACAGTAGGGATGATAAGGATAAGGCAGCAGTGCAAACCTTTATCAACTTTTGGTCCTAGATAGATGGTATAATATGAAGCCGTAGTCTCACTGTAGTAGGGTATGCTAATTTGATGGGTGTATTTATGCATGAATGTGCATATGAAAAACAGGAAAAAAGAAAACACCAGTTGTGTCTCATACTTTAGGTCACATCATTCATCAGATCATGCCAGGAGAGCCCAGCAGGACAGCAGAAGGTTTGTTAGGACCTCCTGTGGTAAACTTGGACGTTCTGGCTGACTCTCAGCTGTTGCCTTTCCGAGTGCCGGCCGGTGATTGTGAGAAGCAAGAGAGCTTCAGTCCAATTGAGTAGGGCCACACACACACACACACACACACACACACACACACACACACACACACACACACACACACACACACGCACACGCACACGCACCCGCACCCGCACACGCACGCACGCACACACCCACACCCACACACACACACACACACACACACACACACACACACACACACACACACACACACACACACACACACACACACAACACACACACAGTACCACAGGGTACCGACCAGATCAGCGATTTGCGTCATTCCAATAGAAACCGGAATGAATCGCTAACCAGCTCTCCGTGGGTGACCTTCAATGCAGGAGATGGGGATAGAAAAGGTTCTAGTGAACTGCATGGTCATGAAGAAACGTGTGTGTGTGTGTGTGTGTGTAAACAGATAAACAGATTACAGTTCTGTGTTTGGATGCCTCCGATTAAGTCTGACCCATCCTTACAAGTCTTCATCTGATATGTCCTTATTTTCACCTTTCCCCAGTGGGAATCTCTGTGTGTGTGTGTGTGTATGTGTGTGTGTGTGTGTGTGTGTGTGAGTGTGTGTGTGTGTGTGTGTGTGTGTGTGTGTGTGTGTGTGTGTGTGTGTGTGTGTGTGTGTGTGTGTGTGTGTGTGTGTGTGTGTGTGTGTGTGTGTGTGTGTGTGTGTGTTGTGTGTGTGAGTGAGTATTGGATTGAGTATTTAGCTGGCTGGATATCTGGATAAGGATGTCCAGTGATTCCAGTATGAACTTCATTAATGTGACATTATGTGATGTGATTCTGCTTTCTCATTTGTTGCCATGTACCATCCTGTGCCGTAGGTTACATAAGATCTCCTCAGTTCCCTCTCCCTTTGAATTGTGTGTTTTCCACTGGTGCGGGTTGGTTTCGTGGTGGCTTTGTTCCCACTGCTCTTGGAGGACTACAAAGAATGCGTGAAGATGCCAGGCAAGCTCTGAGCCAATTTAATGAGGTTGGTGAATGAAATGTGCAGGTGGCGAACAGTCTACAGTGCAGACAGCCGGACGGACGGATGCA